TGGTAATATAAAAGCTGTATCTTTTAATACCTTCAGTTATTTTGCAATATTTAATTAATATACTCCATTTGAAATAAAAAAATTGACTTTTATAGTTTCAGTGAAACAGAAAATATTTGAAGGCATTCCCTTCGTCAACGTCGATTACCAATTTTAGAAAGCAGTCAAATATAAAGTAATAAAATGAAATTATACTTACTTTATCAATATTAGATGTGATTCCGTACTTCGGGGTACCCCTCCATGATGGTCAAACTATGGGGACTTACAAAAGTCTAAATTCAGATAGCAAAATATTGGTAGGTACTCCATATCGCGTCTATGTGCGTGTGTACAAAATAAATCCATTTTGCACAGAACGTAACTACAATAACTACTTCGGAACGGAATTTACAAACGAAATTATTTAAAATATTTTTGACAAAAAAAAATATACAGAGTCTTAGGTAAATGGGTATATGAGCCGACACTAGCCCATGTTAACATGGTCATATAAATAGTATGGTGAAGTCAGAAATTTGATATCATCATTTTTTTTTTTTTCATACAAAATAATTTTATAAAATCCGATTTGTATGAAAATTAAAATAACATGGGCTAGTGTCGGCTCATATACCCATTTACCTAACACCCTGTATACTTAAGTAGGTACTGTACTTATTATTATTCTGTGGTACTGCTTGTACCTATTTAAGTAGCCATCCATTTTATTTGCATACTTACCTGATCAATATTTTTAGCACTTAACCATTCCACTGCCACAACAAAATTAAAGTACGACAAAATTCCACAAACTCACCTCCGAGAACCATCGGTACGCGCCGCGCAATCGTAGAACAGTTGTAACTGAACACCCTTTGTTTTCTTAGACAGTTCCCACAGCGAAACTAATTGTCTGTCCGAACAACGAAATATCGTTTTCGCACACCATTTTTGCATTACTTTATAACCAGCTGAAATTTCTTTTGAAACCCGACCTGTTGTCGATGAATTTTCTTTCAACATTCACATCGCGTTCGACACGATAAAGATGTTAGTGTAATTTAACGAGAGTGCTTCGATGCGTTTCGATTTTATTGTTTACTTTTTCGCTTTGTTTATTGTCAAGTAAAACTGGCCTAAGTCGAACGAAATCCACTCGAGTAGGCCTTTGTCACTTTTTGTTAAAATGGTGGATTAATCGTATGAACCCACTTGTCAAATAAACCCCGTATAGACATTAAAATTTATGTAATTTTCAATTAATAAGTACATAGTAGGTAATGTTTATGAATATTATAAATGTTTTTTTTTTTTCAAACAGAATAAAGTTACTTGAAGGTCGCCATTTTTTTAAATATTTCATTAAAATACTTTTTTTTCATGGTTAACAGCCCATCATTTTCCTATTTTAAATTGGAATTCGTTACAATTGTATTTGCAAATGTGTATGGTATGTATCATATAAAGAGCGTCGCTGCAACACATGAAGATCCATCTCTCCAGACCCGCTACGGATTCGAACCTCACACTAACGGTTTAACACTACCAACATTACTTAAACTCCTGCGACGCGGACGCATAACTCAAGTCATACAGCCATTACTGTAACTCAAAATGGCGGGAATGATCAAAGAGAAAGCTCGCGAGCTCTCACATCATTCTCTATGCTCTAGTCTGTTAGCTTGCGAAACTTACCATAGACAAAACTGACACATTCCAAACTCGACCTTATTTTATTGTTACCAAAGTTGCTTTTCAAGTGATTTAGTTATTAATTTCGATCGTTTTTACTATGACAGGATTAAATTTATCAATTTCCGAAGATTGTTCGTTGTTCTAGCTAGACTATTAACACGTTAGCTTCGACGCTCCGCTCGAGTATTGCTAAATGCTAAATTATGGCGGTTTCACGTGATGTACCAACGCATGGTTCACTGTGCATGTTTGGCTGGAATCTAGATTGTTTATGGCAAGATGATAGCCTGCCATCTGCCTTGCTAGATAGATCAATTGCAGTTGTTCAATATAGACAGAAAATTTGTAACGTTATGACAGGGCTATTGGATGAAAACTTAATGGATATATTTACCCTGTCTGATTTTGTACTACATAAACATTGATTGATTGTTTTCTTGTAACATTCTGACTACTAAATGATTGAAATAGATAACAAAATACCTACAAGTACTTATATGTATATGTAAGTCTTCGGCAATCTTGTATTATCTAAATATTACTGAAGTGCATTGTGGAAAACTTTGGAGGAGGCCTTTGTCCAGCAGTGGACGTCATTTGGCTGAAACGAACGAACGAACTGAAATGGAGTTTGAAGATGACGTTCTGCGAGATATCGAAAGACTTTTACTTCCTATCCGGAATTGGGTCAGTATAAAACTAAAGTAGTTGTCCAAATTATAACAACTTAAAAGGATTGTTTCAATGCAGGACCTCTATGCTCGATGGACCGACGACCCCAAGAAGGTAGCAGACCGTGGCTAGTTTATTAATCGGAAAAAATAAAACACGATTATTATTTGTAAATACAATCACATTTTATTAGATCAATAACACGGCTTATTTATTTTATAATGAACCTCAGAAACAATTCCTTTACTAATTATGTTATTTTCGTTGATTTTGTGACAGTTCAGCATATTTAATTAAAACGTGTAAATAAATTGCACATCTCTTTGGGGCTTTATTCAATTAAGAATTGTTTAATGTCAAATAAATACTGAAACTGAAAAATAAATTCATTAAATATTCACTAGTTTCATAAGAGCAGATACTTACAATAAAGTCTAAAATGCCTTATTTTCAAACATTTTAGATAAATAGTAGGTAGTACAATGGAAACGTGAAATATAAATACAATTGTTTAATTTTATATACTAGCAAGAAATTGAAATTCTAACTACATTTTGTACAAATACAGTAAAGCTAAAGTGGGTTATGTCATGGCTGGGACGGCCATATCACTCGGCAGTACCATAAAATGTGGTACCTAGATGTTAAAATTATAGTCATGACAATTTAATAGAATACTACAGCAAATTATTAAGATTTTTTGTAATTAATTCATTTAAAAGACCCACTTGAGTCTGTATTATTCAAATGACAAGTTTTGTGGTTGTCTAAGCTCTGTCAAATAGTGGTTAAAACCGTGGCGTGGCATCATAACAGCTGTAAGCTTTGATAATCGTGGCGTATCATGACGCTTTTGACATCGTATGAAAACGTAACTGTGATTATGCCACGCCACAGTTAATCCATTATTTATTAGACTACTAAGTTGTTATATCATAAATGGGTCTTATTATTTTTAAAGCATTTTTATAATAGTTAAATTATAGCCTGACCAGGAACATAAAAACCCTCGCCATGTTGCGGAAAACTAATGGTACTAATTTCTTTTAATGGCAACAGTAACTGAAAACTTCATTGACATGTCACCTTGCATGTCAGTCTATTGCTGTCAAAGTGTAAACAAAGTTTATTTTAAATGTGCGCAATTGGTTTTATGAATTAAATTGCTAAAATATTTTTATAGTCGTGAAAGAAAAGTGGTTCACAATGTGTTAAAGTATTTGTCGAAGAGAAATACTAAGGGTTCGACAATATTTTCATTGAATAATGTTTCCGACAAAGATTGTCAAATTGACTGACATGTTTATCGTATAGTACAGTCCACTATGAAAATTAGCTGTGGTTTGTTTCAACTACCTATTTTAAAATTTTTTGTCACTTTTTAAGTGTTGAATTTTATGGGATTGGGAAAGAAGTACCGAGTTTGAAGCGTTCATGAGCAGACATTGCAGTTGAATATTCAAGTTCTGAATTTGATTATTGATGAATAATAAAATAAATTCTACTAACTCGATTGATGGTTTCATTTAATTTATTTAAATCAGGTTACCTATAATAATATTTTTTCGTTAATTTATGAAAATATCAAATTAGCCCGTAATCCTGAATCCTGATACATAAAGTTAGCCTATTAATTTAACACAGGTACGACTGTACTCAGTGTTGCACTATCAAATGCAATTGAGGCGCCTCTATGCCAGGGTTTTTATGTTCCTGGTCAGGCTATATAATACTAAATTATATTCTAATTGTCACCCCAATATCACACAAGAATTTCTTAAGTTTAAAAGAACTAATATTGTCAATGGCACCACATATTTTATTACCTGTACTTGTATTATAATTAATTATAATAAGTTCAAATTTTCTACTGCCTTAATTTCAAGTTATTAAGTTGTGCTATTTTAAAAATAAATTACATGTTGTGTTCTTCCTATATCAGATTTTTAATCTATCCTCTATCTATACAAATTATAATATATCGGATTTAACCTGTACGTATTTTAAAAGTTTTTTGTTCTTGTAGATTATAGATATTTTTTTATATTTTTGACTGTATTTATTGTGTTACCTTGGAACTGAACGTATAACTCATTTATAATTATAGCAATAATTATAATGATAATGAATGACATTAAGGTAATAATATAAATAATACATAATATAATAACTATGTATAGTAGGTATAACCTAATATTATTATGAAGATTCTGTATGAATAAATATTTACATTGTATTGGTAAATAGGTATTATAGTTAATAAATATTTTTTACTACTTATAAGTATTGAATTTTGGCAAATAAATTAATTGACGTGCAAAAGTTTCTAAGTGTATATTTTAAACTATCACAATAAATAGTAGAATATTATAATAATGCATTCACATCTATAATAATAAATAATAAAGAGTTATATTATTTTTCATGGGACCCATTTGGCTGAAAATAGATTTATAGACGACGTTTGACCACAATACGATGTCAGACCATAGCATAGTTATATACTAAGTAGAGAATCGCAAAGTCAAGTGCAAGTGTTGCCAACAGTTTATAACGAAATTAGCTACTCTATCGATAATTTCGATACCGTGGTTAACCTCAATACTATATTCATCAATACAAATATTAAATGGTATTGTCATGTTCTAAGCTATAGTATCAGAACTATAGCTACGATCAATATTCGAATATAAATTGGCAACACTATCACATCCTCACAACTAAACCTCATCACTTCAATTCCAGTAAAAAGGTAAGGCAATCCATTTTATAATATTTATAGATTTTATAGTTACGTGTTTCTACATTGAAGACTTTTGAAGACTCTGTCATTGGTATTTAATACTCGTGACTACAGTTGAAGTATAGTAAAGTCTAATCAATACAAGGCACGCAAAAGAATTTATTCACAGCTCAAGATGTCATAGTCCGACTATAATTTTCATGAAGAATAATGGGTATTACCCGAACATTGTACAACATTCATAAGTATTGAATTCATATTTTAAATTTTTCATTACATTTAGGTCATTATTTTTCATAGATTTCGCTTTACCTACAACATATTAATAAATAAATAAGTAATTAACTTTTATACTTTACATGTCTAGTATAATATTTTTTCTTGTGACTGTAAAACTAATGTAGCCATCGTTGTATAGTAAGTACTTTCTTACATATAAACATAAATAATTACCTATGTAATCTAGTAAAATAACCCGTTTTCAATTCATTGAGAGTTACATAACACAACATTATTCTTATAACTAAATTTTATTTTTAAGTATTTCGTCCAAAAGACGCCGGGGTGTGTCACGTGTATTTTTCTGAAAAATAAAAAGTTTTATTTAAATAAAATAAAAGTTTCATATTTAAAATAGTTTTCATGGTGAGTTAATGTGAATTTAGTCAGTGATACTATACTACATTATAATATTATGTATGTAAATGTATAAGAGTGAATGTGTAAAATGTAGAGTTACATAATTATTTAGAATCTAATAAATAGCAGGTTCATTGATAATATTATTATAAAGTAATTTTAATGGTTGTTTAAGGAATGCAATATTTCAAGTGTAACAACCAAGTAATGTAAAACCATTTACCTAAGTACAGTCACACTACATTGTAGTCGAAACCTATCTCAACGACATAACATGCCACAGTGTAGTTTAGTTCAATGTGCCGTCTTAGAGTAGGCGCACACCGTTGATTTTTCGTCGGCCGATAGTTTAGTCGGGCAGTTGATCAGTATGGGCATATGGGAGTGCGCACACTACGCCGATTCGATTTGGCCGATTCTTCATACAAATTAAAATCGGGCACAACTATCGGCCAACTAAAAATCAACGGTGTACGCCTACTCTTAGTTTAATGTATCGTTGTCTGTACCTTAAGGAATCGTAAGAGTTTGAATAAAAATATGACCTATAATTTTATCAAATACAAAACTCAGAAATGAAAAGACTGTATGTAAATAGTTTTATGGAACAGTGTGAATGGTACGCGAAAGAGTTTACTCTATATTCAGGTGTTACTAAGCTAAACACTCATACTGCATACACATATCTATTCCAAGGTGCCATCTAATCATGACAGATATGGATAGCTCTCGCAATTTTGCCAACTCAAATCACGCCGCTGGGTGAGTTGACTTAACAGTTTTAAAATTGTCACATAGCGCATTTTATCAGGAATGGAAAATAGAATCAACTACGAAGATAGTTAAAGTAGTATATTCCCAATTCTGAGTTAACACAATAAGCGAAAAGATGTACGCCATAATTACTGGGTTGATCCAAAAAAATTGCTGAGTTACCCATATCTATAACATGAAATTATCTAATACTCTCTGACTGCATTGCACTGCTGAAACTGAAAACTGAACTGGAATTCTATTGAGTCGCCTTTCGGAATTTCGACACAGCGACAGCAGTCGTTAAAACTCGTTATTCCGATACCGCGTCCGAACGCAATTCACGAAATCATGATGCTGTATCGATGCAGTCGATGCTACAAGTAGTATGTGTGCATTAAGCTGTACTTACAATGTGGGTTGGTGGGCACCACTGCGTTGTCTGCCGTTGGAGCCGGTGCCGGGGCCACTGCAGCATCGCTTCCACCACCAGTGATGCTGGTCACGCTGGGCGTGCCACGGTATCGAACTAACAACATTTACAGTTTTACAGATGTATTTTCTTTTGTTTGTCAGCAACGAAGAGCTATATCGATAAATCTTGAGTTTTGAATAACAGCTTTTAAGCTGGCCTTCAAATGGTATCAATCTCAAAGTTTAAAAAAACCTTCAGTAATTTGTAACATGAGTATTTCAAATGAATCATTATATCTGACTCAAATTTAAATAATATAGAGGTTGTGAAATTTATTCCCGCCTGAAATGTTTCAGGGAAAGTTTTAAAATTTTTCACTTGAAAAGAATATTTTCAGGACTTCACCAAATAGTTGAGAAAATTACCGAAATTGCTCCAGATGTTGTGTAATCTAGTAGCCATTTGGCTAAAGTACAGTACCTACAGAGCTTCTAATCAGTTTGTGTGTATAAATAAGAGTAAATATTGGTATTTTGTTGATTGTTTAAAAAGTCTACACGGTCTCTAAATTTTCCACTCTCCTAACAGTCATTAAGCCATATTAACAGCCAATCTTGCAAAAAAATTACACTTATCGTCACTTCAAACTGAAAAATACTGAATTATGATGAAAACGTATGAAACGTCATGTTCATTAATTATCAATAGGTTTATTCATTATTTCTCAGTTTTTAAGACAACATTGATATTAACATCTAATTTAAAGCTTTCTGTTGCAGTCCATTCAAACAACATAAAACTAACAACATCGATTGTCTCTAAGTGTAGGAAAATAAACTTTAACTCACCGTACAGTAGACCTATAATGACTAGACCGATTAGCCCCATTATGATCATCATCTGAAAATCAAAGAATAATTTTATTAACCTAAATAACCGACTTCAAAAAGAAGGAAGTTCTCAATTCGGTTGTTATTTTTTCAACAAGCTTATGTTATTTTCAAATTCTAACGTGCCTCCAGTCTTCTTAAAACAAGTGTATCAATAAATTTATATTCACACTAGGTCCTCAAAATCATAGAAGAGACTGACAGTCAAAATATCTTGTTTTTTATACTAAAAACTTTACAAATAAAATGTTCGAGACCGTACCTTCAAGTTTTGTAACCAAAACTTGTTCTTCAAACTTTTCGCTTGTTGTTCAAATTGTGAGGCACCATATTGAAGAGCATCTGAAATATAAAAAATACATATACTGTGTATTAGAAAAAGGTCGGTCGTTCCATAAAAGAATGTCCATTACGCTTTCAATTACGAAGAAAAACAACTGAAAAATTTTCAGTTTCAGTAAAAGTTATAGATTGAGGAACCAAACGAAGAAAAAGATGCAATACAGAAGTTGGGTCAATAAATTCGTATACCAACAGTAAAGTAGTACTAAGTTAGTACTTACAGTGTGTCCTATATCTTTGTGTAAATTAATTTAAAATATTTTAAGTGGGTTAGGTACCTGCTCTATCATCCAGTTCAGATAACTTCACGTCTCTCTCCAACACTTTTTCATAATTTGTTTTCATAATATCTACCACCTGAAAACAAATAATGCAATAATTTATAACATTTATTTTCATTGATAAAACATTATAATACTCGTATGTCAACATGCAATTGTGAACTCCATCAGTTTATAATATAACGCGTGAGATTGTAAACTAACAATCTAACTACGTCATATTATAATCTGATGGAATTCGTAAACGGTGACATAATAAAAGTAGTCCAGTCAGTGAATGCTTTAACGACAACGGCTAAGGGCGTGGACTTTTGATAATAATATGTTCACCTCCTAACTAGTCTAAATAAAGTCCTGAAGTCAGAAATTGTCGCTCACCTAGCAGTATAATGGCACATTTACAAAAAAAGCGAAATTGAGTTTTTACGGCCTAAGTGTTTAAGAGTGTATAATTTATAAAGTGGTAAAACGGCACGGCGTTAGTTTTACTATTTGTCGAGATAGGGCGTTCAGTGTCATTGTAGCACTTGCTACGTTCCCCCCGTTTCCGCGCATAACAACGGCTTATTTGTCAGTTGTGCGGGGCGCTCCGCGAGGTGCAATCTTTTCTAAATCTGTGTTGGCGTAAGTGGCAAATGTGACATTTTATTAACTTAGTAAGTTAGTAGAAAAACGGTACATTTGACAAGAGAAGAGTCATGATTAAACTTTATTTTATTTGTTATAGTTTGATGTTGACTATTAGTCCAGTCAAATTAGACATGAACCCTGCAATAATTCGCATACAGCTGAAAATTGGTACGAATGTTCGGAGCACCATTATGAATTAACTGTGAAAAGTCCCCATCGATCCGACGTGTGCTAAAAAAAAAATTTAAGGTCAAACTTAAAAAATATGGGTTTTTGAGATTTTCAGCCAAACGGTAAGTTTTATCACAAAAATATGTATGACAAGGTTTAAGGCCATACAATTATCTATCAAAATTGTCTATACACTTTCTCCTAAGAGTCAGCGTTTCTGAGATTCGATGATCCGAAGAGTCAAAAAAGTGTTTTCTTCATAACGGTCTTACACATAAATCCAATGTGATATCGCCTCGTGCCACGACTCAGCATTGTATCATGATGTGTTGTCGACGTCGAATATAAAATGATTAACCTCAATGTCATTTGTCATCTTTAATTGTCGAAAAATGTTTGCAACTTAGACGAAGGACTGCACCGTGAGTTTCTAAGATACGAAGTTTTCGTGTCTATTATGTTTAAGAGCTCTTATATGCACACGTCACTACTCTACTTGTAACTCTATGGTCACTCTTTTAGCCCGGTCAAGTCAGAAAATCCAGGTTATAATAATTCGCATAGAGCTGAAAATTTGTGTGATTGTTGAGAACACCATCCTTAATGAAATGTCAAAAGTCCCCAGCGATCCGTCATTTGAAAAAAAAATTTACGAAGTCCAAGTTTTTTGCATCATTTTACAACTTTTTTGCATCAGCTCTATGTGAATTATTATAACCTGGACTGTCTAACTTGGTCGGGCTAAAAGAATGACCATAGAGTTACAAGTGGAGTAGTGACGTGTGCATATAAGAGCTCTTAAACATAATAGACACGAAAACTTCGTATCTTAGAAACTCACGGTGCAGTCCTTCGTCAAAGTTGCACCCATTTTTCGATAAGTAAAGATGACAGACGACATTGAGGTTGATTATTTTATATTCGACGTCGACAACACATCATGATACAATGCTGAGTCGTGGCACGAGGCGATATCACATTGGATTTATGTGTAAGACCGTTATGAAGAAAACACTTTTTTGACTCTTCGGATCATCGAATCTCAGAAACGCTGACTCTTAGGAGAAAGTGTATAGACAATTTTGATAGATAATTGTATGGTCTTAAACCTTGTCATACATATTTTTGTGATAAAACTTACCGTTTGGCTGAAAATGTCAAAAACCCGTATTTTTTAACTTTGACCTTGAATTTTTTTTTTAGCACACGTCGGATCGATGGGGACTTTTCACAGTTAATTCATAATGGTACTCCGAACATTCGTACCAATTTTCAGCTGTATGCGAATTATTGCAGGGTTCATGTCTAATTTGACTGGACTATATTTCTTAACGAATCACGAGCCAAATCGATACCTCTGGGCTCAAAGGTCGTAAAGGACAAAATACCGAAAATGAGTTTTTTATACAGTTGTACTCAGAATTTAATTCTCTATCAAAAAAATTTGTTTGTCGAAATTCTCAAAAAAAGTGCCTTTCGACCCATCATATTTGATAAGCTAAACAGAATTCATAGTGAAAATTGGGATGTAAATACCATTTGATTTTTTAGTACAGTTAGCATGGTAGTAAAGAACAAGTAAACACAAATTTTTGGGCGTATAATGTACATGTAGTATAATATATTGTCCTATACAACCCAAATTTTCATATCAAAGTCTAAATAATTTGTCCTTTACGCCCTTAGATTATCTAAACAAATATTTTAAAAATCTACAAAGAGAGGATATTAAAACAACTGAGTAGGTAAATTTTATAGACGTTTCTTATTGTATTTAAGTATGTGCGTTTAGAACAAACGAAAGAACTAAAAAATCATCAAAAATATGTAATAAAACTATTTTAGAGTGTAACGTTTATGTGATTTGTACATAAAAAAATGATGAAATCTATCCACATCGGGTATAGTAATGATGCTTTTTATTTTTCTCATATTTGACGAAACTAGGTATTTGTCAGGTAAAAGATAATTAAAAGAAGATCTAACAAAATGAAAACATGCTATAAATTAATAACGTATTACCTAATTAAGTTAGGATAGTCATCATACAAATTTGAAAAATGAAAGAGCCAGATGAGTAAAGGAGTCACCTTACTGTAGTACCATAAGGTGTCATTATTACCTGACTGTTGTGTTTTTTCGAGTGTATGTATGTTTTGTATGCATAAATCACACAAATGCTACGCTTTACAATTGTTTNTTATTCTGCTAGGTGAGCGTTGTGTTCCACGCATTTCTCTCTATAATGCTTTATTGACTGGACTAAGATTAAAGTAAACTTTTCACCAAAATTGCAGTATTATTAAAGTGATACCTCATCAACTTGCGCTTTAGTCATCTGCATCTTCTTTTGCGCAGCGATTTGCTGCGGGGTCCGTGGCCCCCCGATGATCTCCCCATCGGGCCCCACTTCTGGTTCTGGGGGGGCCAGCCCGGGGGGTCCATTGCTGCCTTCTGCGGCCCTGGAAATAACAAGATGCTTTTCATTAACGAGACCAATTATGTTGTACTCGTATGTAGGATGATATCGGACTGTATACTAACGTATTATGCATATAAATAGTATATGCATAATATGTTAACATAGGCTAGTGTCGGCTTCATACCCCATTTACCTAACAAGCTGTATAACATAAGATTTTAAACTTTCGCGTTCCATTTCAACAAAAAAAAGTCTGCTTGTGACCACGGCTGCAGCATCGCAGCCGAAACGTCAAGCCGTGAGTACATAATGTAACTCATTAATAAACGTCGCGTTAAGAGCCGTGTTCTACTATTTCAGTTTTAAGCTGTGTAACTTCATCAAAAATAAAAAGTTATATGCTTTATTATTTTGCTTTACTTAAAACCTCAATAACGTATCAAATATACTCATTTAACTTATCAATTTCCATTAACTACAAGGTTCTAGTTCAAGAGTTATTTGCAATGTCATCCACAAATCAATACTGACTGACCTATATTGTTTTATATGAACATTTATCGACTAACTGTGGTGTCCGTGAGAACGGCTGTATGCAGTTTATTGATTTTGTTGAAACCTTGTGTGATTGTCACTGTCATGTTGTGTAACTGATTAAGTTATTGGCGCAGATTTGGGTGATAAACTAATTTAGGATATAATTTGGGATATACCAATTCGTATGATAAATATTGTCATTGTTTACTGTCTGTCTGTACCTAGTCCCACGTAAAACACTAACCATTATGAAAAATTCCAAATACACTCTACATCAAATAAATCGCACCTTCCGCGACGCGAACTTTAAAGATTTTCTTCTGGCACAATCATGGTGCCCCAACAATATTGGTGTTATTTGAAAGCCCAATAAATATCCTTAAAGAAAAACACATTTAATTTCTTAATGAATGATTAACATATACCATAAATGTGACTTGAAAAAAGACCCCACTTTGGGCTTACCTCTGGAATCAATTAGACCTAATTTTATGGTTATAAAACCAATTAATGATCTCACGTGTCCTCTTTAACAGATAAATAGCGATTAATCCCAACTTAACAGTTTTATAGCCATAAAAGTTGGCTCAAGCGTAACTACCTATTTTTTGAAGAAGTGACTCTAAGTAGATCCTTCTACAGACACATTTTTGGGGTAAAAACCTTTCCATTAATGAAATGAAGTATAGAACTAGGTTTTTAAATGGTGCCAATATTGGTGGGAAGTGGGGATGCATACGTTTGAAAGTGCTTGTCGCGTAGGTGCGATTTATTTGATGTCGAGTGTATTTTACATATTGAAAAATGGTACTCTCAGTATTTTTAATATTATAACAAAATTCAGGATGTTAGGTTCCGAAAATATGCTAGATCTAGATCTAACAGTACCACATAATTTCATACGATAGTAATTTAAAAACAGTCAAGGCTCGTATACCTTTGGTTCCGCACATTTTCATCATAAATTATTTAAAGAGCAAGTACAACCTTCAGGAAAAATAAAAAAAAACGTTAATGGAAAATGTGAAGTGTGTAGGCTTCAAATATTTTTTTACAAATAGAAAATGACCCCCAAAATAAGCTCACTAAAACTACTATTACTTTTTAGCTTTACGTTATTACCAAAATATTTAAAACCCAAAACGTATGATAAATACCAGAGTCTTTTACAGCTGACATCTTCTTTATATCATCAAGGTTGTTTGCCAACCACACCGATCCATATCCTTGGAGATGTGCCAAATTACGTTTCTATAAAACGCAATGGCGCAAACCTTCGTACCATAGCCTAAATATCAGGGTGTGATAGAGGCATAAGCAATAAAAATCTGGGGCGACTCCGTTATAACAGTTTTACATGCCACATTTAATAATTTATAGCTTAATTACGGAGAAATTACTACAGTTTATAGTAGAAGTTAAATGCTTTGTTTGTTAGTCATTTGCTTTTTTATTAGCACGCTTACGCCGGTATTCACAAACATTACTATGAGGTCTCACAGTGCGCGTGGACGCACAGGGTGACACATGACATCACAGAGCTCTATTCAACGCTGTGCGTTGGATTTGCTGCTTCACTCAAGCAAGCATCGTTTGTGAATACGGGCGTTAGGTATTGGAAGTTCAGCGTTTTATTCCGAGCTTGAATGAAATTATTTAATCTAATACTATGAGAGATCAATTTTATTAAAATGTCTGATAATATATGAAGGAAGTCGCATAAATTTTCAAATCTAAGAAGGCAAGTAACTCTAAATAACTAATAAAATTGATGGGTCAACCTATAATTTCCAAGCAATTACTTGCCAGAAAGAGTCACAAGAGGCGATTTCTGCCGAGAGCAGTCTCAATGGTTCATTAAGTTGGAGAGAGACTCGTGGCCACGATCAAGTGGTAGTAGAGCCAAGTTTTTAAAAATGAGCTTACCTAATTTAACTTACAATGCTTTTGTTCTGTGCTGTCCAAAAGTAGGGGTCTAAATACACTGGACCGCAAAGAAAAATGATCTGATAGAAAATCTTCAATATCTTCAAAAGTTTCTGACCCTTTGCAGTCCAGGGTAGTTGTAAGTATCAAATTTACAAACCATTAATAATAATTGTAGTCAATATTTAAGCGAATAAAATAAATACATCCTGTCAACTAGTTAATAAGGCGTTTCTCTCCTAGTAATAAGTTAATTTTCTTTAAAACACAATATAATAACATTCAAATAGGTCAACTAAAGGAATTAAACATTTTGGCAAGTGCTGAAATGAATTGCTGCAATCAAGTCAGACACCACTATCTGGAGGTTTAAAGATAAAAAAAACATAGTGAATATAATATCATTAATTCAGGGGCAGTTTACTAGTTAAATATTCATCCTTTTCGGTAGTGACAAAAACTAACATAACTAAAAAGATTTCTTTTGCCGCATTATACTTCATTTCACAATTCACAGATGCTGTGGATTTTAAACTTTTAAAATTTCTTGTTCACAATATTTTTTTAACAATAATTTATATAGGTAATTGAAGCACCTACTTTCAAAACAACCAAACACCGCAAAAATGCCGCACCGGCATTATTTGTTTACATTCGACACAAAGACTTTTACGATACTAAACAACTAATTACTATAATCTAAAGTGAAGTACTTACATTATATCTTTCCCTTTTCAGCCGTTCACACAAGAAAGCTACAGGAACAAACTATAAACTATTATTGTTGAGCTTACAGAGCTTTTACTGCATGGTTCAGAGTCCGACTGCCGCAAAGCTCTCGGCCGCAGTAACGTCAAGCGGAAAAGTGTTACGGACATCGCCTGTTGAGCTTTTGCCAATTTTAATTGATTTTCGTAGAACTTCGTAGCTTTCGTAGGTTTTTCAGTATGTGAACAGAAGATGGTGAATAGCTTTACAGAGCGTGGTTCAAGTTTATAATTGGTATAATAATTTAAACATTATAATTCTTTTATGCCTATGAAATAAGACAGACTCTTCTTGTAATTCATACAATTATTATGCTTAAATCCACAATTGATAATAGAAACTATGCCCAATTGACTTAAAATAAAAACTGCTATCAATCCAGAAGATTAACAATCATAGGTTTACTAATAAACCAATTTTTTTTAAATGAAAATTAATTTGAAAAGTTATTTGTTTATTTAATATGAAAACTTATTTGTTTATTTAATATTCAAAATGTACGAATTGTTGGTACTCTTTGAGCGTTTCATAATGAAAATTAATGTGTCAATTTCAATTAATTCCCCAGTAAACAGGTTAAGCTTTTCTCTCCACCAGTACACCAACAACACAGTACGCATGCGCGGCTCACTGCGTGTATGAGGCCCATCGATTTTGCCCACCCGTGGGGTAGGTCCGACCTGGAGCTCAATGGGAACTATATGTGCAGGATACAGGACAATTTTATTGAAAAATCGTACCTATTGCGACTACATAAAGTGCTAATATTGATGTACCGTCTTTACATGTACATCCCAATGTTTAATGAATGGATATGGATTGTTATCAGCAGATGTTATAGATTTGGATATTGGATGCAATTGATAACACAGGCCATGGAATAGGTATTGTATACTGGCTCTTTTATGTAGTAATGGTATGGGACTTTGGGTGGCGAGCTGGAGTCGAGTCGCTAGAGCTGGATTACCAGAAGCACACTCTATTCGTTTCAGTTGCATGAAGCATATTTATTACGTCTGACTTTAATTTGGTTACAAAAGTCGAGTTACTATTTTTGAAATGCAAGTGATTACCCAATTAAGCTACTTTTGTTTTTTAACTAAAAATTACAACGCAGATAGTTTTTTAATTTATTCGGCCATGACTAATTAATTTACCGCAGCAGGGCAATAATGAACACTGAATTTTGAAACTTTAAGCTATAAGTTATGTTATTCTAAGAGTAGGCGCACACCGTTGATTTTTCGTCGGCCGATAGTTTAGTCGGGCAGTTGATCAGTATGGGCATGTACCTATGGGAGTGCGCACACTACGCCGATTCGATTTGGCCGATTCTTCTTACAATTTAAAATCGGGCACAACTATCGGCCAACTAAAAATCAACGGTGTGCGCCTACTCTAATATATCAATTTCGATTTCAGCAATAAAGGTACCTACTCATTGTCACCAAAATTTAAACAAAGAGGATGCGTTTGCACAAGAACTCCCGGCTAAAACAGTATAACCACCTTCCTCATGTTGTAGTTCTTAAGCCCGCGCAACAAAGTTCAAAGTTGACTGCACTTTTAAAGGCACCTTGTCCTAAGACCACCGTCCCAAAAAAGTTTTTCCTGTAGCTCTTAAGTCAGAGCAAGAAGGTTGATAATGTATGCAGATGTTATTACATGTTTGTAGGCACCTCGTCATACCCATACAGGCTAATGCGCGCCCCGCGTGCTTGCTCACAATAAAACAATAGCTTTTCGTGTAGAAATAATAATGAGGACATGATTTTTTTTCTGTGATTTTAAATTAAAGAGAAATGAATGCATAAAAATTGGTTCTAACATACGAGTAACATAGAATGTTTAATTGTTCCGTAATGTTTACTTATAGTCTTGTGCGGGTTGTAAACCAAGAGCTAAGCCTAATTTATTGCTCAACTATGGAAACCTGCGCACTTAACTTGTAAATTCGTAATTTGACTTAGAAACAAAAAATACACGTGTAAGTATGTCCTTCCTCCTCCTTCTCTTTTCCTTTTTTGGCATACCTTTCTTTTGTTAAGTAAACGCAGTGTCCATGAAATAATAATCTACCAACAATAAAATAATATTAAGTACTTACCTACTGGATTTTTTTTTCATCAAGAGAGCTTTTCCAGGATCTCGGAGAATGTTTTCTTTCTCCGCGAATTTATTACTTACATGGTTCTACCACTTCACCTTAACGCTAAATTACACGCACCACATCCACACAAATCTGTCATATGATAAATACATTAAATATAAATTTTATAAGGCCATTAAAATTAGGGCGGTGAGGCTCGCGGCAAATTGTTGTGAGAGGCGGCGCGCGCGCACAAAGGGGCCGCCTAATCAATTGCTCTACGGCGGGCCCGTGCGGCCGAGACGTAGAAGTGGATAAGTATGAATTTAGAAAAATGGGGATTAGAAAAAAATTGGGAAATGCCTGATGAGGGAAATAAAACATTTGTCGTTTTTATTCAAGTCTTTTGTAAACTTTTTCATTGTGGAGCTTAAGAATTAATATGATATCACGAATTAAAATTCATTAAGCCCCCCATAATCAATATCCACTGATGCAAAAAATATTTTAATTTACAACAATAATCTTGCAAAGCCGATTTAGTGGAGATCTGCTCAAAACTACTATGATTAATTTGAGTAGCTAAACTGGATGCATTAAGTCTACAGCACGAAAAAATCAAACTGAGGCGCTTACTTAGGAAAAGCCTATATCAATATGGAGTCCTATAGTACCTATTGCATAATTTAAGCACAGATTATATTATAAAAATTTAGAAAAAACATACCCACTTAATTTCTGAATTTTCTTACTTACCCTATTATCGGCATCAGCAATCGGCGCTTAGTGCCCATTGCAGGCTCTTCATTTATTTTATTAGCAGGGCTCCTCAAGGCATCGTAACTCACTCCTCTAATGCATTTATTTATTTCAGCCATATCTTTAATTACGTGTACCCAAGGAATAACGAGAGCCTTCGTGGGACTACCCGCAAACACACTGTTTGCATTGAACGGCAAGTAATTAATTTAGATCGAAATCTGAAGGTAATGAGATCGTTGGCTTTAGCCTACGACCTGAGATATCTTTATGGAAGGACAAGGCTTAGAACTAAGAGATTAGTTTAGTTTAATATACGTAAATGAATCCACGAGGCTAATACTGCTACTTTAAGAAACTGTAATTTATAATTTCTTAGTTCTTTACTTGGCTAGGAATCAAATATCAGCCGCAATGAGAAAGATGATAGATGCCAGATTTGATAAAGAAACTCATAAACAGTGTGTCCATATCCAGAGGTGGAATTGTGTAAAGCAATCGTAATCATTTGACAGTTCATAACGTACGATAAAGTCAGTTGAACAAAGCGTTTGACAGAATAATCGTACGTTATGAACTGTCAAATGATTACGATTGCTTTACACAATTCCACCTCAGTTTTGTTCAATCGTGATAGGACTACGACACAAACATATCTTAGTGTAGCAGCCGCTATTACAAACTGTCTGTAATATTGGCAATAAACGAGTCTTCTTTACTTTACTTCAATTTCATCAGTCTCAGTTCACTCTCTGACAATCAGATGTCAGAGTTTAGATCAAATTGGAAACAATAAACAAACATCTCTTATTATTTCCACCTTAATTGTTCCACCTGGTATTCAATCCTCCAAGTCAAAAGGGTCTCACTCTTAGTTATTGGACTCAGTGGTTGGTCATCTAGCTCAAAATTACGAAATGATGAAAAACCAATCATCATCATTACCTACTTCTGCTAAAGTACGTCCACTGCTCAACACAGGCTTCCCTCAATGTTTTTTTTATGCAGAACAAGGCAAGTATTTGACCGCAATCGCATCTGATGTTCAGTGAGATGCAGTCTAGGATGGTACATATCTGCTTTTTAAGTGCTTAATCACTCTCGTTTAGATTTAAATTTCAGATTCTGGTGATTTTGGACCAGACCAATAACTGATCCAAAAGTTGACCTTTCAAAAACCGAAGGTCAAGCCCAGGTGCTCCGACATTCTACATACAATTAGCTCACTTAACCTGCAACTAGGCGTTGTATTGTAAACATGCCCCGTCTTTGTCCCGCGAGTTAACATGTCCAAGCTAAGTGCTGCGCGATCCTTGTTAACTGCTTAGGTTAACAAGGGGACGGCGGTGTTTACGGCAGTTATTGGTATAAGGTGGTAGCGTCTCGCTATGGGGGGATGGGGCAAGGTTGAGGCTGGGACGGGGATAAATTGAAAATATGATTTATCGCGTCAACGGATGGCTTGAAAGGTAGCTGCTAGCTTTTGCCCGCGGCATCTACCACGTGAAATTTAGTTTGTCACAGATCGTCTTAAATAGCCTATATGTTATTCTAGGTTATGGGTTATAAACAATAATACTGTAAAGTTTCATCAAAATCCGTTCAGTTTTTGCGTGAAAGAGTAACAAACATCCAGACATCCAAACAAACTTTCGCATTTATAATATTAGTAGAATGAACACACTGGCCCGTATTACAAAAAGAATACTACCTTATTATAGAAATATATCCTAATGAAGATCTTGGGAAGCACTTGGATGCGATCAACCCGTAAATACTTGGGGGAAGCCTTTGGACTTTAACCAGTGGAGGTCCTTTGGTTCACACGATCTGATGTATGAATATACCTCGCCTATAGATTCAATTTGTGTTTAGTGGCGATCCTTGGGAAGGATTACGTCCAGCAGTAGCTACCATTGGTCCGCTGACTTTTATCTCTTGTAACTTAACCCACTATAAAGTATCGTAATTAAATATTTACACAAAAATATTTTATATATTAATGAACGTACAGTATATTTATCACCAGCTTTAAATATTTTTAACATAACAGGATGTAAATAACTAAAAAAAATCCATAAGACTGCGACGAGTACAATAGGTACCTTACGTCATTTGTGATCTTCCATTTGCCCCTGGTAATTTAGGGAAAGTCAAGCTCCTGCAGTGGAGACTAAATGACTTGATATTAATGACCAGGTCAACATCAGTTAGTGTGAAAA